AACTGTCAAACAAGGTTTCTATAAAATAAGGCCATTATAAGCAGTCATAACAAAGAACACTTGTTGAAGAATGAGATGCACATACATACTTACCACAATGATGTTATAAGCTAACAAACCAGATGATACTGTACCAATTTGATGAATTATCCTTTACAACAGCCTATATAGTGAAATAAACATTTAAAAATTTGTTTCATATGTTATAGGGCACTCTCCATGTATAGTGATGGTCAATGATAGTATTGGGTCCACGTGGACCCCAGATAAATATTAGATTATAGCTACATACTCTGTCTGCCTGTTTTGAAAACACTAGTGTCATATTGATCGAGGGTTTATGCTTGACAATTACATAAATGCATATAAAGTTGTAATGATTTTGTGAGAAGATATACAACCAAGAAAGTTATTAGGGTCCATGTGGACCCCAGGTGTGTTGATGATGGTCAAGCTATTTAGGATAAACAAAAGTAGTTTTGTGTTACAACTTGAAGTCATTTTTGAAAGAAAAAAGGGGTAATTTAGATTTATTTCATATTTTTTATGGTAGTTATGGGGTTGGTCAAATTGACCAAATGCATATAAAGTTAGGGTAGAGAAAATAACAGATAAAATAAAAAATTTTACTGAAAAAAACATTTGAAATTTATTTAGGAGGTTCTATAGATTATGCAAATACAATTTGACAATTTTCAGAGTAAGAAAAGTATTTTTAATATTAACATGAAAATCACTTTACACTCTGAGTAGTCAATGCTTTGATTCCAATTATTCACAGAAAATTTATTTGTGTAAATACTTTATTAAAACTTATGACTTTTTGTTTACAAAACACTTGTAATATTTACTGAAAGCTTGCAAGATATTGTGAAGATACACAAAATATATTAGAATTTATAATATGGAAGCTCTAAAGCTAAATTTGAGGACATGAACTCAGTGAGCTCGTAGCAAGAGAGTTAATATATTCAGCAGTTTTAAATTTGTATATTTTATCATTCATGTCAACAATTTTCTTGTAGTGGAATCAATGTAACCTTGTTTGCAACATGAACAAGTAGATTGGTAAACTATATTCAAACAATATTACTTACCTCTTCGTAGGTAAAATGATGCAGGAAAATAAGCATATATGAGGTCAGTTGAAATGGAGGGTAGAAGACAAGTACATTACAACACAGCATGACAGGCTGAAGTGTCAAAGGAACATAAGAACCATGCAGTCATAGAAACAATATCAGTGAAAACTACAGTTAATGAAGCCTGAAAAGTAATATATAATCCTGACTGAGAGAATCAGAAGAATGAGAACAGTTAATAGCTGATTAGTTCTGTGTTTAAAGGTTCATTTGCTAGTCAGGAATTCAAAGATAGTTCTGAATAATTCAAAAGTTCATCAGAGGACATTCAAACAGTGTCATTTATTATTTTTTATTGTAAAACAGAAACCATTTGACAGTTTCAGTAGCAATCAATATGAAATGTAAATATAATACCCATCATTTTAACAAAATTTAATGTACTAAAAAAATTCCACTAAGAGGTTATATGTTGCAGCTCTTCTGTGCAATGGAGCTGACCATTATGATGGACCATAGATGTATGGATAACAGCTACATTGCTTCAATAAAATGTATAGAATGCTTATTGTGCAAGATGTAAGATAAGTGTTATGTTTTGTTTTGCTCTTTCTCTATCAATAGTTTTATTATGTATGTTTAATTAATAAACATTTTTATGTTAAAATGATTGTGATTGTAATATACTTGAAATAGTGACTAGAGCTTGGTGATTATTGGTATTTGGTAATCAATTAACTGATGGGCTCATTAATCAATTCCTCAAACCATGATATGCATTCCTCTGTACAAACAGAAAAGAATATCATAAGTAGCTCAAGAGTTGACAGTGGGTGCTGCCAGCCTGTTGCCTTTCCTCTAGTCAGCAGTACAAAATTTACAACACTGTCAGATACCCTTAGAAGTTTTTGTATCAAAAATATGGAGAGCAAGTTTGATGGCATTTGGAATCTCACCTCAGGCCTTGAAATCATGAAGCTATGCTGGCCCAACTCTGATACCCATAGTGAGCAGAACGTAGATATCCCATTAAATAGTTTTGTGCTTAACAAAAACAGATATAATGGCAATATTTTGATAACTTAGATAGTTGGAGTAATGGAAAATAATAATCATAATCCCATAATTTTGGTTAGTTGTAAGTTGAATGGTTTTATCACAGTTGATTTCTTCATTGTTTCAACTAACCCATGTGTACAGGTGAGTCAAAGAGTGCAATTCAAAATTTAATTAGACAATTTTATTAACAAGGATGGAGATATGTCAGACTCTTTACTATAACACAGAGTTCCCTCCGTGTTACACAATAGCTCCTCTCTGGTCTACTCAAAACCCTACTGAAGTAGGCCACCACATGTTCGTTTTCACCCACTTTCTGAGACAACACTCCTCCAATTCTGACAATACTAGCATCACAATTCAGTATGTATGGCAGTGAGGGATTTGGGAGCTTTAAAAGTGGGGCTGAGGCCAATTTTTCTTTCAATGTCTTGAAAGCATGCTGGCAAGAAACTTTCCACTAAACTTGACATCAAAATATAGTTTATAATTCAAATTTTAATGTTATATAAGTTTTAGTTTTTTAATTTCAAAAGGAAATATTTAAATAAATTATCAATCGTCACTTCTTTGTATTATGTGACATTTGTTAACTCTAAATTTCCCATTTTATATTTTATTTCATCACCTGTATGATCTTCTGAGTTTGGCATAAATTATACACCCATATTATAGATACTGCTAAGTCATAATGTATCTTTATAACCTCCAAGCTTCTTAGTTTATTAGATACAACTCAGAAAGTGAAACCCACATTTCACACTTTTCCTATCACATCATGTCTTTCAAGAAATGTCAGTAATTATCTCTGATATTTCCTATTGGATTATTTATAACCAATAGAAAGAAAAGATTCTGATTTGCTAAATTTGTAGTTCACTCATGTGCTAGGTTTGGAAATATTTGGATTTTGTTTCATCGATTGTCTTTGTAGTGATTGTCTCAACCAATAACAGAATTTTTTAACCCATTTATAGCTTAGTTAGAAAGCCAGTTAAATTATAGTAGTTTTAGAAATTTTATTTTTTGTGTATGATAATATTTTTGCTCTGAATTGCATATTTGAAATAAAAAAGAATGAAATCTTGGAATGTCAACATCATTGAAATAAAGTAGGCTTACGGTGTTTCATCTTCTGATGGGTAAAAAGGCTAAAGTCAAGACTTGTCTATTAGCAGATGTTAGCAATCATGTCTATCCATCTTTCTTTGTCTCTAGCTAACTGGATGATGTTATTGTCTTTCAGTGCTGGGTTGTCAATCCATTTCCTTGGACTAGTACTGTACGTTGTTCTTTGTTTTTTCTGTCTCTTTTTTTCCCTCAGTTGTTCCTGTCAGTGTTTGATATTCTAAGCCTTCTTTTTGAATGACATGCCCTAGGAGTTTTAACTTCTTTTTATAAGAGATTTCCTTGCTTTTGTACTTTCTAGCACTTTTCCATTTGTAATATTTTCAGTCCATGCTATCCTAAGCATTCTTCTTCAAAACCATATTTTTTGTTTTTCTATGTACAATTTTTATTTATTGTTATAGAAAGAAGTCAAATGGGAAAATTAGAAACTTATTAGCTTAGATAAGAAAATGTAAATGAAATAAAAAGGATTACTTGTGATACTCAATCATAGCATGTACACATCTGCGGTGCATAATAGTAATTGGACATAACATGCTTGTAATTCAGTTGTTTGCTTATACAAATTAATCAGCTGTGATAAATGACTTTTGGCATACTTTGAAAGTCTAAATGCAGCTGTAAAAGAATAAAACCAAATGAACCTGATTTTGAAAATTTATTAGCTTTGACTAAGAATAATTAATGTGCATATGAGATCCCTTCAGTGGGTGCTTCACGAATGATGCAACCTTGCTAGGGATCCTCTTTCCATCCCCATTTCCCTTCCCACTTCCCTTTGACATGATCTGCAATGGTTGCTGGACAAAGCCCATACATTGGTGGGTGTGCTGCTCCCCCCCTGGGATGTCTGGATCTACATATTTTTATGGACGCACATCACATTTACCTTATAGCATGTCATATGGTGGGTGTTTTCAATCTAGTCGCAGATCATCTTTTGCTCCCTGACCAGATGTATCCAATGGAGTGGGCATTAGGTCCACTTGTTTTCAGGGATCTTTGCCATTGGTATGGTTCTCCCCACTTAGATCCCTTTGTCATGTGCCTTAATACCAAGTTGCCCCTCTTTTGATCACCTGTATCGCATCCACAGGCTTTGGTGGACGATGCCTTCAACCAGGATCGGTCACACAAATATCTTTATGCGTACCCTCCCATCTGATTGCTCCATCAGATGATTTCTCTGTCCAATCCACTCCTTGTCGGGTCCTCCTGATTGCTCCATATTGGCCAGCTCAACCTTGGTTTCCAAGGTAAACAACATCTGTTCCTTTCATCAACCTCGATCCCACAATCTACATCGCAATCTCCACATCCTGCATCTTCACACCTGGCTTTTGTTCAGTCTTTGGTAAGATGATTTGGTTTCACATGTCAAGTCGCTTCCTTGTTAGCTAGTTCCAAATGGCCGTCTCACTTTTTCCCTCGCTTCTTGTCTTCATTGTTGGATGGAAGGGATTCTACAGTTCGGCACATGGACCACTCTCAGTACGTTCATCTCCCATTATCTTCATCATGTCAAGCTTTCGTCTACCACCTGTGACTGTTCTCAAGACTTTGGTGTGACTCTAACTGATAAGTTTTATTCATTCTTTTTTTTCAGGGGCCTTTATCTCCCTTTTTATCACATGGATCCTGCTCTGTGGTGAATGGCGCCTGACCAAGTGTTCTTTAACTCTAAATCTGCACTGTACAGCCATGTTGAATCATGCTTTATTTTCCATGGCTACGCATGCTAACTATCGAGATGGGGTGTTCCACAAAATCGCTTAAAAATAAACATGCCTGGACTGTACCACCTATAAACTGCATGGGTAAAGCAGTAGGGATTGCTACCCATCCCTGCCATGCCTTGAGGGAATAACTCAGTATAGTCTGGTTTTCAAAATAAGGTTTTGTGGTCACCCATTCCACTCTCTCCGGTGACTATGTGCCTTCGGACTCTCCACTGCATTGTCACCCTTCTTTCCTCGAGTGGAGTATGGGAGACCTTATCACTTTCCAGTTCCAACCTGCTGGGGTGGTTGACCGTGGAGGCACCCTCCTGAATGTGTTCCACAAAAAAAGGGCAAGAACCACTCACTTGAGAGTAGGGCAGTGGTGTTCTGCTGGTGTAGATGAGACGTGGCTTCCAGAGGAGTTGAGCCATCTCTTTTCTGGAAGATGTGGCCTCCTGATACCAGTTACACAACCACTGAAGTTGAACTGTCGCCTTACTGCATGACGTGGCCTCCAGAGGAGTTGAACCGTCACCACACTGGATGATGTGACCTCTTGATACCATCTACACAAGCACTGGAGTTGAGCCATCACCTTACTGGTTGATGTGGCCTCCTGATACCAATACCACATGGGAGTTGAGCTGTCACCTTCCTGGATGACATGGCCTCCTGATACCATTTACACAACCACAGGAGTTGAGCCATCACCTTACAGGATGACGTGGCCTCCTAATTCCATTTATACAAACACTGGAGTTGAACCGTCACCTTTCTGGATGACATGGCCTCTTGATACCATTTATACAACCACAGGAGTTGAGCCATCACTTTACAGGATGACGTGGCCTCCTAATTCCATTTACACAAACACTGGAGTTGAGCCATCACCTTACTGGATGGCATGGCCTCCTGATACCATTTACATAAACACTGGAGTTGAGCTGTCAAAATTGCAGCTCACCCCTTCGATTGGGAGACCTCATTCTACCTTGTGAATGTTGGTACCCCACGAAGAGGTTTTGGATTAGAGTGAACCAATCACCACAAGTTTTCACATGAGTTGTCTATCTTCCTCCCCCAAGTACTCCCCCCATGTCATAGGTCACAGCGGTGGTACGTGGGATTGTTATGGTTCTATTCTTGACTATCCCTCATTCTTTTCTGATGGGGATGTTATTGCCTTTGGATGATGCTGCCCTCTGCCACTGTTGATGGAGTTGATTCCTTGCAATACACATCCTTTTGATACCAGATGCCAATTCCCAGATTAATAGATTAGAGATGATCCTCGTGTTATACCCAGAAATCGGTGCTAGTCTTAATCTCCGATTCTTGGGTTTCAGGTGAAGATAGTATGATCCTCATCTTACCCTTGCATGGATGTCGCTACCCCACGAGGAAGTTTTGGATGTAGTTGACTTACTGAGTACGATCTGCCGTGCCCTAGCCACTCTACACCTCTCAGTTTTTGCCCTTATGTCTTACACATTCCAAACAGGGGCAAAGAGTACACCTGGCTCAGAAGTGGTGCAGTTCCCCTCTTTTGATCTTTGAATCTATATCTCCCATTGTAAGGGGTATCGTTCAGATGCCCCTTAGGGGTTACTTCTTTCGTTCTCTTGCACCAGTCTCTCCTCTTTCTCAGTGTGGGATTTTAACTAAGTTATAATTTTCCTATGCTGTATTTACCTTCCTCCTCACTTCTGGTGCTCACACCTCCTGCTAAACTTCAAAGTGAAAGGAGTGTAGAGGGAGTCACATGCATCATGTGTGCATATGATGCCAGTATTGGTTAAGAGATGACACATGATGATTTACATGAGAGACATGTTCTTGTACAATAATGTAATCATTCACCTGCACAATTCACGTTAAACATGCATGCCACTAGCTTTGAGCTAACTCCCACCTTCAATAGGCAGACACACAAAGGATATAACTATTCTGTGTGTGAAAGTGAGGATCTCTGGGAAATACATTTTTAGATTTGTAAAATATTAACTTTAAGTTACATTTTGTGATCACTCAAATATTATAAATGCAGAACTAAACAATAGTTTCCACATTAAAAACCTGAATATTTGTGGTATGTTATTCACACTGATAAGTCAGTAATTCCAAACAGTTTGTATAGGAGTTTTATATATGCTCAATATTAATAATAATATGGTGACAAAATATTTTTTTAACTAATATGAAAGAATCAGCCAAGAAGTAGAAGTACCTGTTATCTGATGATTTTATCGGATACTTGAACCCCTTCCCTTATGAAAGACTTGTCTTTACATTTAACATAATTTCTGTGTCCTTGAAGTTTGTGTGTGTGTGTATAAGGGCAAGTAAGATAAATAATTGACTTAGAAAGAAAGGTTATATGATGCAAGTCGACCCTGCTATGCTTCAGCTTCAGACATCGTGTCTTCTAGGTGAGATTTAATTGACTTTAAAAGAAAGTTTATTTCAGGGAGTTGCTTAGCAAGAACATCTCTAAACTCCAACATCTTGATGTATCATTAAATTTTATGAACTTTTATTATGACTTAATGATGATTGATAATATTCAGTTTTGTTGCTACAGATAAATATACATTATTTATATTTCTAGCTACAGGAGAAGCTGATTTCTTAGAAGAAAGATCTTTACATACCTTTTTGAAGTTTGGTGTAACAAAGGAAGAACAAGAAGAGAACTATGATGGAGAAACAGAGGAGGCTGAGGTAATTTGTCCACTAAAATCTTTCATAATATGCTTATTAAAGTGAATTAATTATGTAGTTGTAATGCTGTCTTGAACTTCACTTAGTTTGTATATGATCAACAGTGAAGTGTTTGTAGTGAGAATGTGAAGGAAGTTACTTCAAGTTTGGTAGAAATTCACTTTGTTTTTCTTGTTATAATATACATCTTGGCTCTCCAAAGTTCTTTGCTTACAGCTTATTTTATACTTATTATTTATGGTAATCAAAAAGTATTTCAGTTGCAAGATAAATTTTAAGATTTTGAGATTTACTATTTTTCGAATACCCTGACTCTATCACGTGTTTGAATTGAAGAGTGCTTTATTAATTAGCTAAAGCATTGTAAATAATATGAAGCATTGGCTTTGAGTTGTTAAGTGTGCTATATACTGGAGGTTATTCACAGTGAGCTTCTAAGACAATATCACACCTCTTCCCACTCTGTAGCTGTCTTCCCTGTGTGTCAGCCGTAGAGACTTGCATGCTACTAGCCTTTAGTGAACTCTCACTTACTCTCATGAGGTTTCTTGTGAATTACGCTTCTGCATAATGTCCTATGCAACAAAAGTTTCCCACCAATAGGATGGCTACACACCTCTATGCACAACAACACCTTCGATTCCCTTGCACTTGAGAACTTCATTCTTCTCCTTGGCACTGTATTAACCACACATCCATTAAATTTCTGGTCTGTTTTGAATTTCATAAAATTTGCATCCTTAACAAAACTTTGATTTTCATTTTATTGAGCTTTTGTTTCAAAAACTTTAATGTTTATATTGAATTCCCAAAGGATGGTGATTTATATTTGGTTCCGAGTGTGTAATATTGTTCACTCTTCGGTCTTATTTTGTATGCAGCTATTAGGTTTTATGCTATTTTCTTTCTCTTATTGCTCTTTTCTTATGTCCAAATGCCTTGTTCTTCTCATGTTCCTCATTTTGTCTTTATGTGTAGTCTTACTTCCTTTCCTCAATTCCTTGTCTTAGGTATCTATCTGACCAGCTTGGATATCATGCCCCTTACCTTCTCTGAGAATTCTAGTACTCCATTTGGATCTTTTTCTCTCTTCACCTTCTGTATTCCCTCTCCTAATTCTTACTATTTATCTGAGGCACTTCTTTGTGCTTCTGATGACTTCTGTAGGTTTTTGCTCTATTCTCTGTTTATTCTGTTCCAATTCTGCTTTCTCTCTCCATACTTTGTTCTGCTACTGTTGGACTCATTGGGTTGGATTATTTCCCTCTTTCCTGTACCCCTTCCTTCTTGTCGTGTATCTCTTGTTTGTGTAACTCCATTTCTTTGTACAGATGTTTTCTGTGGTGTTCTTTTTCCCCTGTTAATTTGGACTGCTGTCATAAGACTTCTGTCCTCAATACCTTCCCAAGTTTTTCATCTTTCTTAACCTTGCCATCTACTCCTATATCTCTTCTACTCACCTTTCCATTCTGGATTCCAGACCTTCCTCTTTATGTTGTATTGTCTACCAGTTGTCTATTTTGTTCCACTTCGTATAAATGACTCTCACACATGTATAAATATTTAGTTATCTACCTCTTCTTCTGCTGTTTGTTTCACTTTCTGCCAGTGGCCATTTTCAATTTCTTCACCTTCGTCTCTTTTCTCATTCCCCTTCTTTTCCCATTTCTTTTTCACCTCCCTCTGTCCCCCTCTACAGTCTTTTTCACCAAGTCTGCAGTTGGCCATGGTTGCTGTGTTGGACAGCTCCCTACACATCTTTCTCGGCCTGTCATCCCATTGTTTTCCGTACTTACTCCTTTGCTTTCATGTTTTCCCAATTCTTGCTCTTTCCTTTGACTCAACATTGGCCCCTCATATATTCCTTGGTATCGTATGGACCTTTCCCTACCATATTCACAGCCTGGGGCTGGCATTCCTTTTCTCAGACTAATTCCTTCTGTTAGTCCATTCATGATGTTTCCTCTTCTCTTACTTTCCTTTCTCTCCTCTGGCTACTTGGATGGGGTGACTTAACCTCAGATCTATGTCCTTTCTCACAAACATTCACTGTTCGGTATTTTTGGATGTTTTTTTCTTCTCCTGACTCAACCAAGTTCAGCCTATTTTTTCAGCCTGCAAGCTATGGCATATCTGGCCACGAGGTTTTACACATCTCTTTCTCTTCCTACACAGGAAGTTAATTTGCTTTCAGGGACTCTGGCTTCCGTATAACCCCTCATTCCTTTGTGGACAGCAACTTTGGACCTTATAGACCTATGGTTTTTATTCTTTTCATTCTTGGGGTCCCTTTTCCCCTTGTGAGCATCTCTATGGGATTCTGTCTTGGTGATTGGGTCATGCCCAGACTACTTCCTGCACTTTTTCACCACCTCTTATATAGGATCTTTCCCTTCTTCAACAGTTCCCTCTCTAATGAGGGCAAAACTTCGGACATTTTGATGCTGGTCTTGCATTCCATCCACATCAATGGGCTTGAAACTTTCTCTCTTCTTCGGACATGTTCCTCTTCCTGCTGCTACTGATGAATCACAAGGAAATGTTCCACACAGTCTCTTACATTATAGTTTCTTGCCCCAACCATCTATGAATTTCCTGTTTCTGGTCCCTTTGCCTTTTTTGCATTTGACTTACAACTCTTAGCCCATACATATCAGGTTAATATTCATGCATATCATTTGCCCAGAACTTATATCTTGATGGAGGACCACTTCTCTCGCCTTCTATTAATGGAGTGATCTTTACACCCCAGGTCTTTCATGGGATTTGCTCTTGGTTGGTCACACCATTCTTTGATACATTTGCTACCTTTCAGAACTCTGGGCTTTCTTCTTTATGGTCAGTTATTCCTTATCCTTCAGCTCTGTCTGCTGATTTTCTTAGCCTATCCTGGTCTCACCTTTTTCTATATGCCCATTCCTATATTCATTTCTTCCCCTTAATCCCTCATTTTTACACACTACTTTCCTTCTCAAATTTTGTTGTTGGCACCTCTTTACACAGCTCATTCTTGGTCATTTGGACTCCCCTTTCTTTTCTTAATTATCCCCCTATAACTTGTTTCACACTCACATCTCTTCTTCATTGAAGGTTATCTTAGCACCTCTTTGAACATGTAATTTGCCCAATCTTTCACCTGTTGGGCTGGTCTTTTTACTTTTGTGTCACTCTTATTGTTGCATTCTTGTCATCCTTCCACCTCCTTTTTCTATCAATGACTTTGGTGTGTCTTTTGTCATCCAACTCCTTTCTTCCTGGCAGTCATCCTGTGACCACTTTTCAGCCTTTTTTCTTGATTTTTCTCCTTTCCCAGTATCACAAGGTGTTTCTTCCCCTGTCCTCTCCATTCTGTTCTGCTCCTTCTTTTTCCTCCACCCTGCCCTATGCCTGACTGAGACCTTCATGGGGCTTATGTGATCTGGCACATACCCTATTAAACCCATTGTCTTCCTGCCTTTTGTACCATCTCTTTATCCTGGTTTGTTTTGTCCTCCTCACTTGCTATTACTTCTGTTTGAATGTCTACCTTATTGTTGCTTCTAGCACCCTTTTCTACTCTACTTCTGTATTCCTCTCCCCAGTCCAGTCTTTCTTTCCTCAGCTTTTAACTGCTCAGGATCTTGCCCGTATTTTTTTCCTCTCTCTTTTCCTTTTGTCTCTTGTCTATTGGACTGTTTGGTGTGCGTATTCACAGACCTTCTTTTCTTCTCTCCTCACTGGTAGGGTCTGTTACCTCCTTCGGTTGGTATCTTTGTCTGAAGTTGAGGATGCTAGCAGACTCTTTCACACTTCATTGCATTTGATTTGTCATCTTTCTCCTCCTCTTACATCTCTTCTTCACTGGGCATAGGATGGGCTCCACATATTCGTCTACCCTACACTTTCTGGCTGTTATATCTTTTGATGGTTTGTGGCTTCCGCAGGTCAACATTCTTCTATCAACCCAAAAATGAGACAAACTTGCAACAGTACATTAAAAAATATACAAAAACACTTGCTGAAAACACAGGTGACTTTCATGATATATTACTCACTCAGTTACACCACCATTCTCAATTAGCCTTGAAAAAGAAAGGTCCACTTTTTAAAAGCACTCGGGTTATAGTTTTTATTATTATATATTTGAGAAGGTTGCACTGTTTCTCTTTCATAGGATCTGGTGGTGCCTCCCAGGGTATACTTATCTCTTAAAATCCACATTGAGCCAGGATAACAGAAAGCACTTATACCATCTGCCCTGGCTCCTTATATGCCCACTGTGAGATGGGTTGTTCTACTAGATCACTTTAGGTATTCTTATGGTATACCTTTATATTTACCTTTTTACCCTATCTGGACTGTACCTATTCCATAGACTATCATGCTTGTGCTTGCTGGCTTTTCAAAATAGTGCAATGAGTGACTGTGAAATCCTGTCTTTAGTAAAAAACCTTTCCTGACTGAAGGACCAATGGGGATCTGTACAGTTTCTCCAGGTCTCCCCACCATCAGCTCTCCCCTTTCTCATTGAGTGAATCATGGGAGACCCTTTTCACTTAATAGTTCCTAGCTTCAGGGGTGTTGGATCACAGAGAACCCTCACAGATTGGACTCATACAATGGAGTGTTATACAATAGAGTACCAATATGTTGGGAAGTGGGGCAGTGGTGACACTGTCAGTGTAATGCAGGTCATCCCTGATATAGCTTCACATGACACTTGTGCCTTCCTCCTGCAACCTTACTCTGTTCAGTTGAGTTGAGGTGAGCACACACTATGATGTTGTGTCCTCTTCATTCAGCCAGTCTGTTCAGTAGAGTTCAGGTGACCACTCACTAGCATACATCCTCCTAGTGTCCTCCTCCTGCAGCTGATGTTTGTTCAGTTGAGTTGAGGTGTACATGTACTATACCAATCTCTATGATATAACTTTTGTGCCCTCCTCCCACAGCTGGTGTCACTTCACTGAAGTCTGACAATAGAGCTTAGCTCACAAGGTACAGTCTGAATGTATCTTAAC